CAACTACTTGCTCGGAAGCCAGCTCTGCCTGCCACATGAAAGAGACAGATGCACCTCGAGAACTAAGTGAGCAGCTCAGTGGCAGTGTCTCGGCCTGCAGAGCAAGGAGTTCTCTCGGTGCCCCCCAAGCCCAGGAGGCAGAGGTAGCCATGCTCAGGGCAGCACAAAGCCTGTGTAATTTGTAACTTTATTGAAAGTGACAGGGAGGCCTTCTTAGCCAGGCTGCTGCTAATCTATGCAGGTATCTTTCTGGACATCGGAATCTGTTTCTTTAAAGATTTTTTAACTTGTTGAAGTTTCATTTGGTAAAACTAAACTATGATGATTTTTTAAGTGTTTGATTTTTGTTTTATTCACAGAGCATATTCTACCACCCACCAGACTGATTTAAAGAGAATAGGGATGGAGTAAATGAAGGACTACAGGGAGATGTGTAGACGTGGGATAACAGAGGCCTCGTAGGAGGAAGAGAGAGAGGAGCAGGTGAAAGACAGAAAGATTAACAGGTATCAGTGCTGTGCCTGGCATGACCTCCTAAACAAAAGGATGCTACGAATAGCTGTGTACCTAAAAATAACACAGATTAAATTATTGGCAATCTGACATTCTTCAAAGGAGGCCTTCATGCCTAATACTTTCATTTTTCTTACAAGAATGATGCATGGCATATGCAAATTTATTCCCAGGCACAAGTAGGTAAACCCACACCTCTGCCCTGTGTCTGTGAGTGCTCTCGAGAGCAGGTGTACATCTTAAAAGAACAGACATAAAGGAACTGTGATATGATTTATTAGCAGAACTTCACCTCCTTTCTACCAGCCTCACACCAAGCCAACTAGAGTCTGTGATTTGAAATCTTGGTAAAATTTTGCAGAGTTAGTCTTGAGAAGTTATCAGCTATGGTTACCTTTCCATTCCTTTCTACTAAGGATGTGACAGATCATTTTGTGGGCATCTAGTCCTCTCTCACCCTCTCATTCTGCTGAAGAGAAAATAAGGCATCAAATAAACCTACCTACCCAGCTCCGGCAGCAATACTTGCCTAACTTAATGAGCAACTAACTAATCCGAGAGGAGACTAGCCATTCCTTATACCGCCATAATGTAGACACAACGTGGCATGTAAATCAGTAACTCTTGTATTGCAAAACAGACAAATAGATTAATGCATGTTGCAAAGGATGGGGGAAGAGATCGATTAGGTTACTGATTCAGACCATGAACTTTCTCTCAATATACTGCATTTAACTTTTAAATAAGGTTTAGGAGAACCTGTAACATTTTGCTCACTGACAGAGCTATATTTTACCAAGGGCAGAAATTGGCTAGTCTATAAAAATTAAATTATGCCCCTTTCACTGTATCTAGTCAAGAGGAAAAACTCTAATTACAAGATTGCACTGTCAAACAAATGCAAATTCACATTCTTTATAACCTGGTTTAAAAATTCATACTGGAAGGGGGAGGCTTCTATTCTGAAATGAAAATCAATATTTGAAATATTTTGTGGAATTCAAGGATAAACAAGAGCAAAAGAACTTGTCATTATCAAGGATGCTGGTAAAATAGACACTAACCCATTAAGTGCAAAGCTGGTGAGAACAAGTCATTAGTTATGCAAACATTTAAATATCAATTAGTAAGGACAATGAAAGAAGCTGAATCCAACTTCCCTTCCCCTTGCACTGCCTTATTATTATTCCAGAAATGGCCAAAGGGAAGAGGAGCAATAGAAAATAATCTCAGCACCTAATAGGAATACCTCTCTGGGGAATAGGTAAAGGTTAATTTTAAATGCACTTCCCACTTGAAAATTAAATGTACCTGCCTCAAAATTCATAAGAGCTGAGTTTGCAGACTTAATCCAGAAAGGACTAACGGAAGGCCCAGGCATACTGCATCACTGGTATTTTTTTTTTTTTTTTTTGCAGAGAGAGTGCCTTTCATTACTGCTTAATGTCATATGGGCTTAGTTCATTAAAATTTCTGAGTCCATTTAAAGCCCTGATTTTTCTGTACCCATGAAAACTGCCAGTTCACACAGCACTCAGATTTCAAAAACCCTCTTCATATTCTTTCAACATTCACTTTCTTGCTTGTCTGCTCAGCTGGCCTGGTAAACTTGAGGGACATGAAAAATCTTCTAAGTTCATAGAACTTAGCTAAAGTATCTTTTCAGGCAGACTTGGTAGTATATTTTATCATTCTGTGAGAGGCTAAGTGGTGATATTATAAGAAAGGTATTGGGTTACAAAGCAGGTTTCAAGTGCTTCTTAATAACAGTTGGCTGATGGACATGGACCAGACATTTAACTTTTCTGGACCTTGTTTTTTTGCTCTATAATTCCAAAAATGTTGAACCAGATCAGCAATCCTTACCTTGGAGCACCTCAGAACTCATGGGGTGCTCAGAAAAGACCCAGAGGCAAATCTGTCAGACATAAAATGAGCTTCATGGGGGTTAGCAAATCATGTGGATGAGAACAAGATTCCAAGAAGATGCCAACAGACACCCTTAACTAGGAATCAGTGGGTCTTTTAGCTCTAATGCACGAAGAGGCTCAGTATGGCATACATTACTAGCTCTCACTTAGATGCCTTCATACTATCATACAACATGCGTCATTCTCTTTGTCCAGAGGGGAGAGCTTGACCATGCAACAGTATTACACCCTAACTGCTTGTGGCATCAGGAAACAGTCCTTGAAAGAGCATCACCAGATTTCATGAGATACTACATGTAAAGGGCTAGGAAAGAGGCCAGGATCCAGGGCACACTCAAACTTAGCTCTTAGTAATGTGGAGGTCAAACTACATCTTGCCATTTAACAGTCAGTGTTAGGTTTGTTCTCTGTTCTTGTTGGAAAAAACTGGATTTCTACCAATTACATAATCCCAAACCTGAGAGTGCCTTGGAGCTATCAACCTTCATATACTGCTCTTCGATGCAGAGACAAATGCATTAGGTTGTTTTCTACTGAATTTAGGCTCAGAGTCCTTTGCATATACCGAAACCTGTTGTCCTTACCCTAAAAATTTATTTTTTCCCCTCTTTGTATTCATCAATTTCTTCATTTTTCAAACATCACCACTGAGATGACCTTCTGTTTCCATCTTGTTGCCCTACTGACCTGTTGCTTGTGGAAGGAGGAACCTAGTTCGGAAACAAGGTGCTCAACTTGACCATGCTAATAGAAAACAGGCAACCTCAGACCAGGCCCTTAGGGATTCCTGTGCTGAAGTTTTCTGTGTATAACAGGTAGGATTATGGCTCTTCTGACTTATAACAATATGCTTAGGAGGACAGAATGAAGATGACAAACAGCACTTTAAAAATGGAGTACATGGTATATATCTTAGATACACATATGTGGAGGAAGAAATGTTTCCCAGGAAAAGTAATTGACAAAAATTGGGTTCACATCCTTGCCTCAACTACGTCCCAGGGTATGAAGCATAATACCCAGGTAGACTCTGAGAATTGTGAAATTTTTAACAGGCCCATAGTATATCTTCATCTGGTGTGGTTCTAAATTACTGCTTGGCAGAAAGCTGCAAATGATTGAAAGTACCAATAAAGTGTTCCCAATGATTCAAACTAAAATCATAGAAGTTCTGCTGATAGAAAGGCATTTTCTTTTTTTGCTCAGGTAAAATACAGGAATAAAACACAAGTACAAGAGAAATCACTTGTGCAAATTTTCATATCAATCTTGGCTTGATCAAGCATCACTAAATTTTTGTTCTGCTTTTTTAATAGCATGCATTCCATATGCCAAAACAATGCTTGCTGCTTTTCTTGGGATAAGTTATTTCTAAGAGTAATGAAACGCAGACTTCCCAGAAGTTGGATTTTGATAGAAAGAATCTATACCACAGCCAAATAACAGTCTATGAAGACCAGCTGATAAGACAGTACACACATCACAGCACAGACACAAGCTATGCTAGGGGTGCTATTGGGTATGTCTCCCAAGTGACCGGGTGGTTAGCAACCAGACATTTCTTGGTGCTTCTTGAGAGGCAAATACTCCCCTCAGGTGCTAACTTGAAACCTAGTGACCTTGCATTGATTTGCCAGTGGGTTAAGGAAAGCATGCAACGGTTCTATTCGCTTCTTGGGTCTGCGAACAGTTCTCAGAACTGAAGGGGAATAAAGCTTTGGTTTCTTAATAGCATTTATTACATGATACTATTTCATATATTTTCAGCAGCCTTTAAATGGCAAAGTCTGTTCATGAGTTTGACCTTGCTATTGAAGTAAAAGCTTCACAAATTTTATTAAACTTCAGTTACTTGTTGTGGGGGGACCCTCTGAATTCTGATATGACTATTAGGGGTACTGGGGGTTCCATCTCCAAGAAGACTTCTGTTAACTAGAATGAGGGTTGCCTCACAACAAAGCCCCTCCTACCTTTGTGTAATGCCCGGGGTCTCTGCTCAGCCAGCTAAGCTGACAGGGCAGGAAACAACATTCCTTTGAAAGATCTTGGCAATTTCTGCCTGGAATTTGATGCATTAGTTCTAAAATTAAATAAAGATCCTATAGTGTTCTTCAGAGAAATATGGTGTGGCTCTATGACAAAACACATTTTTCAAGCTCTGACCTCTGGGAACTTCAACTAGCTCCATATTTCAGGCTGACACCACTCACAGGCTACTGTCTAGTTTCCCAAACCATGGCTGGTTATCCATATATTTTCCACCTTCTGATCAGCTTTTAGCTCAGGGAGAGAGGGGAGTAAATAAAAGGAGAACCACTGATTTAAATGCGCTTCCCCTCCCAACTCCCTCGGGGAGAAGCCCTGGTAATTAACTCTAATGAGATTAAAGTAACTTGGAACTCTTCATTTTCCCAGCACTATAAAAGTAAATCTGCAATAACTGGTGCATGTGTGCATTAAATCTCCGCCAGGCCTAACTTCTGTAAGGCAAGGGCCCCTCACTCCCACCCGGAGGCTGGGCTGAAGGGTGCAGGGAGAGAGTTGCTGGGCTCTTACCCGCACTCTGCTCCATCACTTCTTTCTGACACATGTCTTGAACGTTCACCGTGCAATTCACGATGAACTCGGGGGAGGAGCAGTCGTTGTTGAGCTGGAATTCTTCGCACTGGTAGCACTGGATTTGCAGCGCAAAGCCTGCGGGACACACAGAGTCTGGGTCAGATCCAGACACCTCCCTGGTGTTTTGGTCCCAGAGAGCAAAAGCTCCAGCCTCAGGCTGTCTGGGCACCTGCACTCGTGAAACTCTAGGTAGGACTGGCTGTGGCGGAAGCTGGCCGCCGGCAGTGCGGGTACCAAAAGTCCTGCAGGCTGAAGTGCAGCTGTGCCCGCGGAACCCTGGATCCCTGCCCCAGACACAAAGGGCCCATCCAACAACACCTCCAGTCTTCTCCAAAGAAGTTGAAAGGAGGGGGAATGGGTGCAAACCCGTGAGAGCAAAGTAGCAATAGAGGCGAGCATCAGCTGAAGTTTATGCCAAAAGATTTGCCTAATTGCTAATTGGTTACAAATTACTTAATTACTATTTTGGCACCATTCGTGATTGCATTTGCAGACGCCCTTTCGGTTTTATTTTGAAGTCATCGTTGCTTTGCTTCGGCTCTGAGGCTTCCTGTGCAACCACGCGTGGAGCAAGGGAAGAGGTTCTGGAACCCAAGCACTCCCGCGCCCTTAAGTCCTCCGGCTCCGCATCCTCCCCGGACCATTCTCCGTGCCACAGGCTTGTGCGCAGCGGCTAAGAGGAGGTGAGCGAGTGCTCGCCCCCACTAGACCGCGACACCACAGCCCTTTCTGCCCAGCTCCGCGCTTTCAGGGCAACACCGGCTCGGTCCTCGGCGGGGATTCCAGGTCTGCAGAGTTCCCTGTGAAGCTGGTAGGTGAAGAGGGGACCAGATAACAGAACCACCATCCCTTCGGTCTGGTGCTTGGGTCTGGGCGCTTCATCTAGATCGACTTGCCAGTGCTTTCCCGGCCCTGGTGTGTGCGCTCCTCTCCCCAAGACACAGCACTCTGGGCGCAGCCACCCAGCCCCGGCTCGGCCCGGTACCAAGCTGCCCAGGGCTCCGCTCACCTGTAGGCGCCACCGCTCCCACGGGATGCCGGAGACGCTGAACTTGGCGAGGTTCGGGGCATGTCACACCTTCTCTTTCGCCAGGCTACGACGCGCCTCAGACCCTCCCTCCTCCCCAGCCTAGCTGCAGCCGGTGTCGCGCGAATCCGCTATTCCCCGCTGTTCTCCCGCAACGCGGAGCTTGGAGACTTTCCCAGTCTAGCGCCTCTGGGCGCCAGTGCGACTGCCAAACTCCCGCCGGGCAATCCCTGTTCTATGCTGGCCCGGGTGGGCGCAATGGGAGCGAACGCGCCGTAGGCGGACAGGGTGTCTGCGCCTGGAGGGGCTGTTGGTCTCGGGTCCTCTTACCTGGAAGCAAGAACAATCCGCAAAAAGTTGCCGCGATGCCGAAGACCCACATCGTCCCGGAGCCGCGGGGCAGGGAGTGGGCAGGCGCATCAGAGGCGGCGACCAAAGCGGAGGCTGCCCGGGCCGCAGCGGCTGTGGCTGCCGAGGCTGGTGGAGCCCGCGCTGCTGCCGCCCGGGCGACGGCCGCCGCCGAGAGGAGCCGCAGGTGTCGCCCTCGGCGCCCGCATCGCCCGCGCCGGGCTCTAAGCTGCCGCGCGGGTCCCGCTCCTCTCGCCCGTTCCTGGGCCAAGCGCGGCGCCTCCGGAGTTGGCGGCTGGAGCTGAAGAACTACGGGCGAGTCCGACCGCCCAAAAAAGTCTCGCCTCTTCTTCCCCCCTCCCACGCCACGCACCACGTGACAGCTGCCGGGTGGGGGTGGGGGCGCGGTGAGGTTGGGGGTGGCAGGCGGGGAAAAGCTAGGACCGTCGAAGTCCCACCCCCTGCCTGCCTCCTTCTTCGCCCACCCCCGCAGATCCCGGGATCCAACCCTCCGCCTGGGGGCGGGGAAGTGTAGCTTTCCGAGGTTGGGCGAGGGCCTGGGAAGGTGCAGCAGGTGCCTAGGGACCTGGCGGGCGCCGCCTGGGGTCCCGCATGGCAAGCGCTGCGCCGAGCTCCCGCGCCTTCAGCTGCTGCTGTGGGTATCGAGCACCCCGCCACTGGGGCAGGCCACCCCGTGCGTTAGTGCCGCCGGGCGACTCTTGGGGGCAGTGTGGGGGCCGTGTTCACGTGCTCCCGCAAGTTGCACACCCGCAGGCTCCCGGGGCATCCCGAGCTGCTGCGCGACCTCCTCCTCCCGGAGGCCCTCGGTGCGGGTCAGTGCCGGGCTCGGCCTCCGCAGCATGGGTGGGAGTGCGGCGGGGATCCGACCGTCCCGCGCCACCCTTTCTTCACCCCCTGGCGCACCCCACACGAGGAGCCATGAACAGGTCCAGAGGCCTGGCCCGGAAGTGCGCCCTAAGGACCACCTTTAGGAACTCCCAGGAGAAAGCAAATCCTGGGAAGAGGGTGGCTCTGTTCCTCGTCTCCCTCCGGAAGGCGGGGCGGGCTTCATTTGGGCCCCCAAGGCCGTAAGTTAAGAGCTTATATACCTGCGTTAGGCAGGGTCCTGGCCGAGGACCTGGATACGGGTTCTTCACCCCACCCACCCCAAATTTCTCTTCACCAATTCCAGGTGACACCCACCTGGTGTATTCCCAGGACGCCGCGGTGCTCTTTTCACGTCGTAGCGGAGCTTTGCAGCAGGTGGTGCCGGAGTCCGGGAGTCCGCGCGCCCGCACCGAGCTCACTTGTGCCCCCACCCCCAAGCCCGCTGGTTCCCACCCCTTGGTCGAATCCCCGGGGAGCGTTCATTTCCTTGGAAATAGCCCTGTAAGCTTCGGCCCTCTTCCCGCCCCCTCGTGGGGAAGCTTTCTCCGCTGGGACTCGGATCATTTATTTCCCATCCTGCCAGCGGAGCCGGTCTGGAAATGGGCGTAAATGACTTTTCTTGTAATTCCTCTGCAGAGATCCTTCCGAATCTGCCTCAGGCTCCTTCTCTGCCTTTGCACACCGCCCCCTCCCCCCCCCCCGCTTCCCCCATTTCTACTTGGTTAACCCCTCAGAAGGCTGAACCGACCGGGCCCCGCCGTTTCTCGCCGGGCAGCAGGCTCTGATCTTACAATTGGTTGACTCACAATCGCGGGAGCAACGGGGCCAGTTTATTTATTCCTTCGGGAAAGCGGTCCTTGGAGCACGTGTGAATCACGGCTGACGCAAGTGAGTAGGCAGAGGGCTCTGGATAGAGTTGTTTGCAGCATATAAAGAGTACAAGTGTGAAAGGACTTTATTCAGAAATGAAGCAAAAGGATTTTCCAAAGGCTGAAAGGCAAGGAAGCTTTACAAAATTTTCCTTTAGGGCAACAAAATTCAAATATAAGAAATTGCACAAATTAACAAAATAACACTGATCATACAATATTCTTTAAAGAAGCAATTGTGTGCTAAAGTAACCAAATAGACCCTAAAAGCCTCTCTAGTTTACTAGTTTACAAGCTCCTGTACAAAAGCAATTATAAATAGTTCACATCTAGAAAAAATACACATAACCTTTAAAATAGAATTTATCCTTACATATAAACAGTCTTTGTAGAAAAAAGAATATTAAAAAGTAAGAAATTTTTGTAGCACCCATCATTGATTTTATTTGTTAAAAAGTGAACATACCAAAAGGAATTTGTTTTCATTTCTAGAGCACCCAGATTGTAATTTTAAAAAGTAGGAAGATGCAAATTGACATAATAAGGAGAGGCATAGAGAATCCCTAAGTAGAAGAGGATGTGAGGAAACACTTAGAGGGAAAAACCTACTGGAAGTAGGCTTCTGGACATGGGGTCACATTTCCTAGCGTCCACACTTCATTTTCCAACAAAAGCAGGATTATTACTAAAACTTGAATTTCTTGGGCAAAACTTGTGAATTGCATTGGAATTAAAAACATCTATCAAAATGAGATCATGAGACAGAGATGACCATGGTCGTCTGGGTTTTCCGCAGGCCGTGTTTTAGGTTCCAGAGTGTGCCCACAAATACGGTGAGGACTAGGACTGTGAACTTCACAAAATCTATAGCTGGGATTTTAAAAAATATATATTATCATCAACTTCTAAGACTTAGTACAGCATTTCAAGAGCATGGCGCAGATTCCTTTTATTGCTATCTTTTCCCTCCCTACAAATATAATTTCTCTTCCAAAAAAATTTACAACTTCTGTACAGGTATTTTTAAAAGTGCAAAATTAAGAATTCTGTATCATATTTAATGTTGATGGGAATTTGAAACACAACAGTGGATTCGATCTTTATTGCCCTGTCAGAGAAATAAGCCCTGGCGGGCTGCCTGCTATGAGCTCCCCAAGGTAGGCACTGGTGTTGTGGCCCCTTTGTGGCTAACAGCTGTGTCTCTGCTGCCCCCACCCCGCTTTCCATTTTCAAGCACTCTTTTTCCAGCTCTAGGGGGGTATAAAGTCCTTTATACATCATTTGAACCTTGGCTTGCACAAGAAGAAAAGCTGTCATATAAAGAATCGCTCAAAGATTCCAAATTATCAACCGCAGGCCTATCCGAGCTACTTAAAGATGCCTCTTCATTTTTTTCTCTTTCTTCCTTTTGTCCTTCAACCTTGCTCAGGGAGTTCTCTTTTTCTAATAAAATCACACTATTGCTGTTAAATTTATTGAACGACTCAAGGGAAATTTTAGATAATCTATTCTCAGGATCTTCTTTTGTTTCTTCAACTTGTTTCAATTTCTGCAATAAAAAGAAGGAAATATTAGAAACATATTTCTTTGGAAAATCAAGTTATCCTATCCAATATTCAATTATTATCTGTATAAAGTGTAGTTTAAAAGGATAGAGAGAACCTGCAAGTCGTTAACGGTCTTCTAGTACAATTAAATGCAATAATAAAGCTAATTTTAGAGATAAATCAAGACTTTAATCATTTTACCAAGATAAATAGGTCCCAATTTACAAACCAGTTAAATGTCATTTAATTTCATTTTAAATGGGTCCACTTGAAATTTATTCAGGTAAAGTGCCTTATTTTTCTTAATTGAGGTTTCAAATGCCTGTTTCCCCGATAAGTATTAGCAGTACTTTTTCTACATGGAGATTGTGGTTGAGTTTCAGCCAGAAGTTACAGTACTTTGCAAAGAAAAAAAGAAAAAGGGGGGGGGGGCAGAAAAATCCCCTAAATTGCCTTACAATTTCAGTGCATATTAAAGTTGTCAGCAGCATCGCCATGTGTGCATTTTGCCCCTTTATGGGACTTGAGATGCTTGAAAGCGATCTCTGCGTCACCGGCCCTGGTGCCATGGCAAGCGGAAGCACTGAGCCAACACCCAGGATTTGGAAGCAGATTCATTTACGTCGATGGGAACTGATCAGGATCATTCCCCAAATATCAGGCCCGCTCTCTGGTGGTCTAGGGCTTATATGGGATCAGCAAGCAGGAAGTACAGAGGCAGAACAACTTGGCAGTTGGTGACAAGCTGTCGTAGTGACCAGCTTTGCATCACAGTGACCGGCCTTTTCTAAGTGACAGGAGCAACTGGATCTGGAACAGCAATTATTATGTGGGCAACTAAGAAACAGAAATATACTGCTGCAGTTTAGTAAGTGCCACTGTCCAGCAGCTTCGCACAACACACCAGGCTGTGTTGCGATATTTATAGGCTGTTATTATCACCCTCTAGGACTTTGTAAGACACTGAAGTCATGCTCAATAATCACTGCACGTAAGCCCAGTGAACATGACCATGTTCCGCTGCTCAAGTGCCTGTCAGGGCTGGCATGAGGGCAAAGGCAGAGATGCACAAGACCAAGAGAAGAGTGAAAGCGCTGAAGCCCAGAGAACAGTTCTCATTTTCTTTTCCTTTCAGGCAAAAATTCCATCAAACACAAGGAAGAAGCAGAGGCAGGGGCTTAAAAATAATAGGAGCCACATACTAAGCAGCCACTAGGTAAGAGGCACTTGGCAGGTTTCTTCCATCAGCCTTCTCACACACCTGATAGGTTTACCTCATATTTTATTGTATTCTGTAATCCACGTGTTGCTTTGAAGTTTACTCGTATTTTTAGTTGACCTAACAGTTCTGCTGTGCATGGAGTAGAGTGGGATGTTCCATTCCTGTACACAGTGTGTAATGATCAGGTCAAATTGTTTAACATATCCATCGCCCCAAACATTGATCACTTTTGTGGTAAGAACATTGAAACTCCTTTAGTTCTTTTGAACTCTCTCATGGAGCATTATAATCCTATGTACCAGAACATCAGAACTTTTCCCTCCTAACATTGCACCCATGGACCAACTTTAAAGATGGGGGAAACAAGGCACTTTGTGACTGAGCACTAGCTCAAGCTTGCAGAACAAGGGCCAGAAAACAGGATTCAAATTTCAGTCTGTGCAATGTTCTTATTCTACTAAATCATGATGTTATAGATACAGGGGGAAAATAGTGTGCTTTCACGTTCTTTCCCAAAACTTTCAGTTAAATAAGAGACCAAAGCCAAAGCTTCTCTGACATGCATAGTTCTGCTTCCCAACCTGCCTCCAGCCCGTATGATTATGCTTGGCTTAGTAGGCTGCAGGGAGGAAATTTCCAGGGGGCAAATGGAGACAGTCAAGCCATGGATTTTCACAACAAACAAGAGGAGCAAAACAAGATGGCAGTGGATGCCTTTGGAGCAAGTTCAGGCAGAATTTTCTTGCTAGGGGAAATAGCGAGGCTCCATGGGAATATTTGAAAATTAGCCTTCAACTAGTGGTTCCTTCCTTATGCTGTCACTGTGCAAGTGTATTACTCGAGAGTTCAGTTTCAGTCACAGATGCCACCTTGAAACCACAGTGAGGCTGAGCAACAGATTCCTAGCTGATTATAGAACGCTGAGTCTACGATTAGGAATAACTCCATGCAAAAGCCCCTTATTATGGTGGACCAAATTTTTAGCATTCTTTTCTTCCTCAAAGAATTGTATAGCACAATATTATTAGTACACAGGAAGTAGGAAATGCTTCGGAGAAATTAAAAGCTTACCTACATTTACCAAAGTGTAAATGTACACTTACCTTTACATTACATGAAAGGCTTTCAATGCAATTTTCTCCTTCCTTGGAGGTTTTAGTCCCCTTTCTTTGAAAAACCACAAACATTTTTCTTGCCTACTTCTGGTCTATGTAGATCTCAAGTTATTAAGCACACACTTAGTGCAGAAGTTACCATACCACAAAGCAGACAGAAGATTTGGGTTCTGAGAACACACAGCTGATTAAACTGTTTCTTAGAGAGTTGTGTTCTTCCCTGGGCTGTGGCAGTGGGAACCTTGTTCAGGTGTCAGTGAAAAGACACACCCCAACTCCAGCATTAACTAAAGTTTTAGAAATAAAGTACCATAAACCCCTAGTACATAGAAGGTGCTCAGTAAGTGTAAGGACAGGATTCTTATTCTCAGACAGTGTTTCTTAAAAATGTGTTCCCTAGACTAGCAGTAGCATCCAGCAGCTTGTGCAAAATGCAGACAGACCTACTGCATCAGATATTCTCAGGTCCCCCAGTTTTAATAAGCTTACAGTATGGCTCTGAGCTTTGTACACTAAGACTGAAAACCTCTGGACTAGGAATTTATAGTCTTGGAGCAGGAGCTGCTGAAATGTATACACTGGGCCAGCACAGTAGGGGATACCTGCAATCCCAGAGGCAGAAAGCTAGAAGTGTGATCCCAGTCTGGGCGGTTGAGTGACCCTGGGAGACTCTATCTCAAAATAGAATATGAAAAAAGCCTAGGGATGATCCAGCTCAGTGTGAAGTTTCTGGGTTCAATTCCTCGTCTGTCTCTCTGTCTGTCTGTCTCTCTCTCGCTCCCTCTCTCTCTCACTCACTCTTACACACACACACACACACACACACACACACACACACACTAATGTGTACGAAGGCTGACGTGAGGAAAGGATTCAAAACCTCCACTGTGAATGGGACAGCGCATCACCTCTTGTAAAGGGTTCAAGCTTGAAGAGTGGTTTCTTCAGTTAAGTATAACATAGGGCCCTCTGGGACAGGAAAGCTGTGACAATGGAGGACAATTATTAATTGGAAAAAACATGGCCATCTCAGGCACGCTTTTATTCTCATAGGTTAGGTGAAAGGTGAATGCAAAAATATTTTATGACTCTAAGAACATCAGTGCAAATGACAAAAAGTGTCAAGTGACATTCAACTTCAGGTTAGGAAGCTCAGGAGCATATCAAATATTTAAAGGCAGGAGCATCTATTTAGATCTAGATTACTGGTGCTGAGCAGAAAGGTAGGCTCTGATATTTTTATTTCAAAAGCAAGGACATAAATCTAGGTTAATATGCATTTGCATTAAGATTTTTCTGATTTTTGAGAATTAGTTCATTTTGAAACAAAACAATAAAATATCCCACAATATGCATCTCAGCTTGCAATCTTTGCCCTGTCTCAGCTTCCTTTTTCACTTTTTCATGTACCAGGAATTGAACCCAGGCCCTTCACACCGAGTACGTCCCTAGTCCTTTTATTTTTTATTGTATAACAAGGTCTCCTTAAATTGCTATTTACGTGGTCCAGGCTTGGGATTTCCAGTAGTGGCATTTCCAAGAATAATGGTGCTAAGTATCGTCCCTCCCCTTCCCTTGTGTGAGCATCTGAAGTGGCCTCAACCTGGCTTTGCCAGATGCCAGGTCTATTTAAACTTTCAAAGCCACATTGCATTTAAATGTAAGTAGGGGGAAGGACTGAGGTCAAACAGCAATGCATTAATGACCTGTCTGGCAAACTGTCACAAATCGGGGCAGGGTGGTCCATGTGAAGCTATTTTGCAAACTATTCATGGTAAGAACAGTCTCTGTTTTCCTACACAGCTGTTCAGGTGCAGACAACAATTTGCAGGGATTGTCTGTTCTCATTCCTGCAGGACGTCCACAGGACATGTGCTGTTGAGGCTTAGGGAAGTTACATAACTTGTGTACGGTTTGGCAGCAGTACTTGGTGAGGTTTAGACCTGGACGTGGGCTCTGGTTACAGAGCCCAGCTTCTCAACCTTGGAGAAGTGATTAACAACTATTATTCAGTAGTATCTTTAAAGGTAGCATCTGAGATAAGAATTCCAACAGAAAACAATAATGAGAAGGGTGCTAAAGTTTTTTGTTTCACAAGAATTGTGTTGACTCCAGAAAACATCCCCATGTCCTCTATAAGCTGCGTTTCACCAGAATTAAAATCACTTCATTTGTCACCTACAGGTGGCAACAGCTGTATGGATTACTTGTTGGTGGTGCTTTTTATTGCAGTTGGGAGCAAAAAATAAGGATAAATAGGCAAAATGAGAGTATATTTTCAAGTTCAAAACAAGTAGCTTTCATATTCTTACATATTTTCCAATCTTTTGTGCAACCACAGAATTATTAGTGATAATCCAAGGAAGAAGTAGTGATATATTCAGAAATTTCTTGAGAATTATACTTTAACTAATTTAATTTCTTGCTGTCCAACAGTCAGTCATTCCCCAACCCAATTTAGTAATTGACTGGTTTTGTGTAAATAATCTTGCAGTTTTGATTCTCTATAGAATTTTCATAGAAGAGTGTGCTTTTAGGAAGATTTTGAGGGATAAATACAATTAAGATATACAGTGAAGAAGCAGGAGGACATTTCAAGTAGTTGCCAACCAGCATGCCCCTGTCACCTCTGTATACCACCCCGCAGTCCACCTCAGGATCAGCA